GACGGCGACGACAACGACGACGACGACGACGGCGACAACGAGTACGACGACGACGACGACGACTGCGACAACGACGACGACGACGACGACGACGACGACGACGATGACGACGACTACTACGAGTGAGACGACGAGCGAGACGACGATGGCGACCGCCCCTGCCGCCGAGGACGACGACCTCGACGCTATCGGCGACGACCACGGCGGCGACGACGGCCGCCGACGACGCTCCGCGGGCAGGTACGCCGAGCACCAGGCGGCTCTGAAGGACCGAGCGTCGCACCCCCCCAGGGGGTCGAGGGACGCGCCGATCGCGACCGCGGCGCCGAGAAACGCCATGCGGGGTAGTCGGCGACGTCGTCGCCAACCTTTTCTGCTATGCCGTTTTGATTGAGTATCCTCCTGCCTTCTCCTCCTGCCTTCTCCTCCTCTTCTTGCCTTCTCCCCCACTACTCGAACGGTACGTCCTACTGCCCAGCTTGTCTCACCCCGTTCCTGCCTGTGCCTTTGCTGCCCTGTTCCCGCGGCAATTCTAGCCGGTTCCGCGGCCGTGCCCGCCCCAGTCTCGCTTCCAGCATCGTTTCCTTCATTCCGACTGCGGAAACACATGATTCCTCACACCTATCTGTCTAGTTGGTAGCGGGGCACCACTTTCCGCTGCCACGGCCGCCATGTCTTGCCACGCTTTGATGGCCATGGCTCCAGCCCTCCGCCGCCTTCGCACATCCCGCTGCTATTCCGCCCTCGTCGCCTTCGTACACTTTGTCCCGATCGCCATGGCAGGAAACGTCACTCCAGAGCTTGTCAGGGCACCAACCCAGCCGCCAGGATCGGTGACGGGAAAAGGCGCACACCTATTTTAGCAAGACCGCCAACGAGACGTACAAGAACCCAGGCCGCGCCGCCGGCTACGACGAACTTCGTGGCGCGCCGGAGCTCTCACCGATCCTTTCTGGGCTCGCGGTGTCTGTGCCAGCGCAACTCGCGGACCCTGCGCCCTCAATGCGCCCGCCTCTGGGTGTAACCACACATGTCAGATAGTTGTTCGACACAAAATGCACATCTGCGGTGTCGGATCAGGGTCCCGAGCTTTTAGTGATTGTGTCACAGGAGCCCTGGGTTAAACAGGTTGGAAAGGGCGGGGGGCACTGGGGGCTTTGGTGATTGCTTCACCAACACTTCGAGGGACAGCGAAGCGGAACTGGGAGAACCGCATTACTGTTTTATGCTACACGACCCTTCAGTTGACCCGCATATCACCAGCAGCCTGGCAGGATTGGGTCCCGATGCGCACTTCTCCTGACGATCGTGCAGTTGGCGGTGCTCAGCGCGGCGCCGACGCGACGCGCGAGGAGCATTCCCCCGACTGCGTCACGGGGTGCGCCGAGCACCGAAGGCACGACAACCGCGCGACAGAAACCGACGCCCAACACGCAGACGAGGAGAAACAGTTGAACACATCCGGGGCATGTACCCATTGCGGCTCCGAGGCACCCTGCCTGAGCGGCGCCGCCGGTGGACGCGGGGGAGTTGCGCTCCGGATGGATGGCCTTCGGAGTGGGCATTATTGCTGCCGCCAGCTGCATCGCCTGCGTGGACGCAGGCGGCGGCAGTGGCAACTGGCGACATCTCCGCGCACGGTCCAGGGAGGACCCACTAAGGGCAACACACTACCACCTATGACCTATGACCCTCATTCTGAACAATTTGGCCGAGCGGTTGGGCCAACTGGGCGAGGAGGAGCGCGCTTCGGAAGCGTTGGCCTGAATAAAGTTCAACCGACTGCCGCGAGAGCGCATCGACAACCGCCTCACCAGGTTCGACATCTTACGCAAACGGGTGGAGCAAGCTGGTCAAATCATGATCGGCCATGAAGGCCTCAGCTTCCTCCTGCTGCGCGCCGCTGGCGCGTGGAATATCCAATTAGCCATGATAGCGCAGCACTGCAACATGGCTGATCCAACTAACGCCCAGCAGCTCACGCACATGCTGGGCCAGCTGCGGCGCTATGGGCGCATGATCGAGGGGTCGCCGGGCAACCTCGCTTCGGCGGTCCACGCTGCCTAACTGCGCATCTTCCTCGCGGATGCGCCCGCGCAAGATCAGATCCAGGGTGCTTGCGGCACCATGGCCCAATCGAGCTGGGATGGCACGGGCCAGCTGCGCCGGGGGCGGCACCGAGCTCGCCCGCGCCAGCAGCCGCCAGCGTTGCCAGAGCGGCGTCGCCAGCGCAAGTGGCATTCCCAGCAGCAGCTGTCGACTCAGGCACCGGCGCAGCTCCGTCGGCGAAGAAATTGCCGTAGACGACCCCGAGCTTCGCGACGCCCCTGTAGAACAACGCAGCGCGCGCTTAGCCTGGGCTTGCGAGCGAGCCAAACGCTGGCGCAGCTTCGACGACCGCAAGCCCGCGCGCCGCGCCCGGAGAGTCATCGAACGAAAGGGCAAGGGCCATGGCGCAGGCTGCCGCGCCTTCCTGGCCGACGCGCCCGAGAACGACCCCCCCGGAGCTTTCGCGGGCTCCGGGATGGCCAGACGTAGAGGCAAAAGGAAGTTCAGGACAAGTGGCACGGGGCCGGGCCGTCGAGGCAGACTTGGGGGCCTTGGCGGGGCGCGTCTCAAATGCCACGACTGCGACTTCTAGGAGCACCTCGTGCGCGACCGCCCTTAGCGCCGCGACCAAAGGCGCATTCTCTTCCTGAATGCCCACGCCTCAGCGCCACCATCTCACGGTTCTGGGGCAGCAGGGGCTGCCGGGCCCATCCGAGCAGCAGCCCCCGCCATCGGGGGCACGCGCGACATGGGTGGCCAGGGGCGCCTTCGGAACTCTGCTGCCTGCGGCCCTGGGCTTCGGAGGCGAGGACTCCGCGCAGGGCGCTGGCCCTGGGAGCGGCGGGCGGCATGCTCCAGCAGCGCCGGCGCCGCGGCACGCTACAGCAGCAGCCGCCCCAAGCGCGTCGTCGGACGGCCCTCGACAACAACCCGACCACAGCTATTGGCCACGATGGGAAGGCGCATCATCTTCTTCTTCGACCGTTCCCAACCCTGGCGACGACGAACAACGGTGACTACGGCGGGAGATGGCAGAACTCATGAGCCGCGCGCAGGACTCTGTACAATCAGCTGGCCCTGCGACTGCGTCATCGGCCCGCGCGGCAGCGGCGGGGGAAGCAGCCCTGGCCTCGGCTTCCCCAGGAGCTGTTGCCGCACCAGCAGGGCCAGCAACGCCAGCTGCGTCAACAGCATTACCCCGACCGACGTCACAACGGCAGACGCAAGTGCGCCGTGTGTTCCCACTGGGGCAAGCTCAGTGGAGCGACTGGACGGGCGACCTCAACGCGCGAATCGCCGCGCCTCCAGCCACGCCTGCCGACGAACAGTTGTCGCTTTGGGCATGCATGCCGTAAGTCTCTGCCCTCGGCATCAGCAATCAATGTGGACCCAGCTCCACGTGGCCACCGCCGTCCACGCCGGCAGCCGCCTCGCCGGCGCTGGAGTTTCCCTCGGAGCTGGCTTTGTCTAGCCAACGCAGCCCCGTCGACGCGAGTCAACCGCCTGGGAGAGCGGCCGCGCAGTTCGCTGGCCGCGCGGCAGCCGATCCGAGCATCACGCGGGCGCCACCTTGGACCGCGCGCAGAGACGGCACCTCGGCGAGCTCCTCAGCACGCAGCTGGCGCTTGAGCTCATGCGACAGCAGGACGAGCAGCGACGGCAAGCCTCGCACAGTTGGACAGAAAACCCCGCCAATCCTCCTCCCGTGCCTGGGGCGCTCCACCTGCCGAGCCTCCACAGTTGCAGCGTTCTTCGGCGATGACAGGGCGTGCCCGATCTCCCTGGGGACTTCCAGCATGGCGTGAGCGTGGTACGCAGACTGCGCCGCCACATCTTGCACTAGGCATGCCATCTGCAGCTGATGCAGAACACAGACACTCGTTTGGTGCACTGCCCAACGCGCCGCGGCCCGGCCCACCTTATCGCCGATTCCCGTTTACTTCGTGAATATCACTCAACGGCGGGCCCGGTGCCTGCGGCGCCAGCCCGCGCGGCAGCAGACCTTCGCATTGGCTCAGAGCACGCCTGCTGGGGCTTCAGCCTTGCGCCCGCCTGCGCTCCTTTTCAAGGCTGCAGCAGAGCACGCACTCCTCCCTGGGCGAATGCTCCGAACGAAATGCATCAGGGGGCAGCGATCACTAGCGCCCCCGAAGAATCGAAAGCTCCTGGTGATTCAAGTCTGGAGCTGGAAGATCTGGACAAGAAGCGCTAACTCCTGGCGCTTCAGCCTGGAACGCAAGCACACCCGGATATCCGGATACAGAGCAGGAGCGACGGCGGGGGGGCGAGATGGCTTGGCCCCTCGGGGCGTTTAAGCGCCTTGGGAGTCCACCCGCATTCCGCCACTACCCCCGCCGCCGTGAGAGCACCCTGGGCCCAGGCCCACCTACCGAGCCCGAGCCCTTCCCCCAAGCGCGCGAGACCCGCCAGCTCCTTGGCGGCCGGTCCCGCACCAGGATGCATGGCCGCCCCTCTCGTGGCAAAGGTTTGGCCGCCGCGTTGGCCCTTGCGCTCCCGAAGGGTAGTGTGTCCTGCCTGGACGTCGGCCTCAAACGTGCGGGATTTGGTGTCGTGAGCCGGCACCCCGTCGCCGAATGTCCCGAAAGCCTGCGCCACAAAAGGGGCCTTGGACTTTTTGGCCGACGTGGCCGAATGCTTGTCCAATGCGAAGGCGATGGGAGCGGGAGGAGGAGGGGGAAGAGGAGGAGGAGGAGGAGGAGGAGGAGGAGGAGGAGGAGACGGAGCAGGAGAAGGAGGAGGAGGAGGAAAAGGAGGTGGAGGAGGAGGAGGAAGAGGAGGGGAGGAGGGGGAGGACGAGGCGAAGCAGCAGGAGGAGAAAGACGAGGAGTAACTGGGGACGGATTGGGAGGAGGGGGGGGGGGAGAGAGAAGGAGGAGGACAAGGACGAGGAGGAGGATCAGAGGGAGGAGGGGAGGCGGAGATGGGGGGAGCCCGCGGCAGGAGCAGGACGAGGTTGTGCTCTCGCACGGCCGCACGATGCTCAACGGCGCCGAAGAGGACAGACGGCGGCCCCTTGCCGCGCCGACGGCGGGCTGCCTTTCACGGAGGAGGAGGAGGAAGAGGAGGAGGAGGAGGAGGAAAAGGGAGGAGGAGGAGGAGGAGGAGGAGGAAGAAGAGGAGGAGGAAGAGGAGGAGGAGGAGGAGGAGGAAGAGAAGGAGGAGGAGGAAAAGGGGGAGGAAAAGGAGGAGGAGGAAACGGTGAGGGAAAAGGAGGAGGAAACGGAGGAGGACGGGGAAGCCTGCGAGCGCTGTCTCGCCCGACCAGCTGCAGGAACCCTTCTCGCCGACCCCCCCCGCCTTACGGTGGCGGTCGCAGCAGCAGGTCTCGCAGTTGCAGCAGTCACAGTAGCAGTAGCAGCAGTTGTGGATGATCTGGACATTGCCCTGGGTACGAACGCAGGAGAAGGAGGTAGGAGGTAGGAGGAGGAGGTAGGAGGAGGAGGAGGAGGAGGAGGAGGAGGAGGAGGAGGAGGAGGATCGAGGAAAAGAGGGGAACGAAGGAGGTTGGGTACCGCCGCCGCGTTGGACGCGCCCATCATCCGCGCGAGTGCGCGGGGTTGGAGCTGGGATCGCTTCGCAGCGCTGCGGCAGGCAGGGGAAGGAAGAGGAGGAGGAAGAGGAGGAGGAGGAGGAGAAGGAGGAGGAGGAGGAGGAGGAGAAGGAGTCGAAGGAGGAGGAGGAGGAGGAGGTATGAGGTATGTGGTAGCAAGAGGAGAAGAAGGACGCAGGGAAGGAGGAATATTGACCCCTCCACGTCTTCCCACCTCGCTGAATGCCTCGATTTCAAGCCTCGCCCAGCGTGGGCCAGGGCGTTCATCAAGAGCCAAACGCAGCACAGCGGCGTTTGGACGGGCCCAGAAGCGGCCCTCCAGGCTGCGCGGAAGCAGACAGCAGCGACGTGGAGGAGCGATGGCCGATAAGTATGGGTGTGTTACGCCCTGATTTGGCCCCCAGGGTTTTCGCAGCCACGGCTGGATTCCCATTGGAGTTCTGGTCAGGACGCATTCCATGAGAGACGCAGGGGACGATTTCTGAGGTAGGCTGAGGAGGAGGAGGGGGAGACGGAGAAGAAGAACGAGGAGGAGGAGGAGGAGGAGGAGGAGGAGGAGGATCGCACGCCATTGAGGGAGAGATAGATAGAGAGAGAGAGAGAGAGAAAGTTCCGTCAGTCAGGCCAAAAAAACCCAGGGGGGGCCCATCGGAGAGGACCTTTGTGTCAACTCGGCACGGCTCGGCAACGGCAGCGCGCCCAGGGCCAGCGACAGGGTCCCCCTAGGGAAAACAAAAACCTCACCATTGTCCTCTTCAAGGGGTTCACCCCTTTCTCTGACTCGAACCTGGTCTGCGAGGCTATCAGCCTCAGCTTCATTCAACAGGCCTGGAGACAGTCGGCTAGGCACAAACGGCGCCCAGCGCAAAGAACAGGAGCAGAACCGCAGCCCGCACCACCAGGCTGGCCCCCTGGCTCAACAAAGGACCCTGAAAAGAACTCCCACGCCCTCGCACCAGGAGACCGCCAGGGACCCCGCCTTTGGGCACGGTTAGGATGCTTGGATCTTAAAAAGGCCCGCTTATGTTTCCGCCCAGGATCGAGCAGCGCGGCCTGAGACCCCAGGACGCACCCCGTCGTCTCACGGGAGATGCCAGGCACGATTCTCGAGGTACGTCGGTTGACGACGAGGATGAGGGGTTGAGGCGGATGGGGGGAGGAGGAGGAGGAGGAGGAGGAGGAGGAGGAGGAGGAGGAGGAGGAGGAGGAGGAGGAGGAGGAGGAGGAGGGCTGAAAGATACTTGTGAAGTCCTCAGGAGGCAGAGGACAAACGACGACGGCTTCCCTTGATGAGGACGAGTAGAAATATTCTGGATTGCGGTACAATAAGAGGTGGATTCATACTGCTATGAGCATCAGGATGGAAATGACCAGCAGCAGCAGCAGCAGGAGAAGCGTGAGAAGAAATGAGGAATGTGATGGAGGCTTCAGGAACAAGAGTGACACAAACAACTAAACAGGGAAGGTAAGGAGAGAGAGGTTGGATATTAAAAAGGTTTTTGCGGATGTGGAATGGTGGGGGGGAATTGTGTTGACGCTTGGATTTGTTCGAGAAGGGACAGAAGGAGGAGGGGGATGAAGGATGATGAAGAGGAGGAGGAGGAGGAGGAGAAGGAGGAGGAGGTCTACCACGCCATCGTCCAGCGCGGAGCACGTCAGGAAGAGGATGCGACGGATAGGCGGAGGAGGAGAAGGAGGGCAAGGAGGTGGATAGGGCCCACGTAACAAGTAGGAGGATGACGAGGAGGGATGCGGAGGAGGAGGAGGAGGAGGAGGAGGAGGAGGAGGAGGAACAGGAGGAAGAGGAGGAGGAGGAGGAAGGCAGGAGCGTGTTGAGGGGGGAGGAGCGAGCAGGAGCGAGTGGGAGGAGCGATGACCGAAGAGTGGGTCAGGGGAGGGGGGAGGGAGGAACGAGAGGGGAGGAGCGACGGGCGGGGATGGAGGAGCGAGGACCCCGGGAGCCTCGTGGAGCATTGGGGGGGAGCGAGGAGCGAGGGCCAGGGAGCGGCAGCGGACGCTGTCGTGCCAGGGGGTCCGCATTGGGGGGCGCCCCAGCAGACGGCGGGCGCGGGCGGCGGCCTGCCCTGGAGGAGCGCACGTGGATGAAGACGGTGGGCGGCCTGTCGACGAGGCTCAGGAAGAACATCCTGGGGGGGGGGGGCGTGCGCGGGGGGGCGCAGGGCTACCGATTCCCGCAGGGGGTGCGCAGGGCGGCGCGGGGGGGCGCAGAGCATCCGCAGGGGCGTGGGACGAGTGTTGGTGGAGCCCCGCGGACTGTAGAAGACCACGCCGTCGGAGGTCTGGGTGATTGGCGTCGGGGGGTGCTCGCCATGGGGGAAGCGGGTCCTGGGGTTGCTCTCCGTTTTCGGGCTCCCGGGGCCCTCCACGGGACCCGGGACTGTCAGGAAGCGACTCAGGATGAAGAGCTGGTCCTGGGGGAAGGCCCCAGGGCCCCGGTTTGTTTTCTTCGGGACCCGTGTCCCTTCATGCTAAACGTTTGGCGAATTACGCTTGGGACCCCGAACAAGCAGATGCCCCCTATTTTCAGGGCCCCCCAGACGGGGTCCGAGTGGATGGGGTCGGAGGATCGCGCCGCATCGCCGATGCATCGGCGATGCGGCTCGATGTGGAGCCCGACGTTCTTCACGCCGACGGCGAAGATGAATCGGCTATACATCGGCGATGCGGCGCGATACTTCGACACCGTCTGCTCGGACCCCTTTGGGAGGCCTCTAAAGAAGCATATGTCCGCAATTTGTGACACAGACATCCCCAACAACCAGGGGCAATGATCCAGAACACGAGGATCTAAGAAACGCTTGGTGCAGGCAATGGGTTTTAAGGTGGTTGTCTCTGTCTTCTCCGCTACGCTCATGTGGTTTGACGGTGCGGAGGAGTTCATTGACAGTCTGGCCACACCTGCTGGCGGATGGCAGTTTTCTCTTGTCTGCCCAATCGCATTGGGCGATGTTCCAACTTAGGTGGGCGCCCGCCGAAATGTCGGTCGACAGAAGTCACATTACATTGCTGCGGTCGGCGTGTCGGGGAACGCGCCGATGTGGGCCAGATTTTGGCTCCGGAGAGGCCCCACGCCCTCGCGTTCTTGGCTCTCGCCTTTGCGAACAAGGCCAGCGTCAATATAATGTATGCCCATGGTCGCATGTGCGTTTTGCTTCTCGCGCCAGCACTTCCCCTCCCCCGATCGTCTACGAGAACATGATGCGAGAGGAGGGCTTCCAGAAGCGGGTTGCGGTCCCACGCGCGCGGGGGGGCGCTTTGTGTCCTTCGCAGGGCGAGGCGGGTAGGGAGGGCTCTTCCAGCGCGTGGTTCCATAACCGTCGAATTCACATTAGGCGAATCTCTGAAAGAAATTTGCAGCTGAGCGTATCACCGCTGTGGTGGAGAAATACTGGCCAGGCTCTGGTCTCAGCTGACGGCTCTTCAAAATATGTGAGTCTATTGGGCTTTGAGGGAGTTTTGAAGCCGCTGAGGGTTTCCACGTATATTGCCAGTAAAGGGTGGTATTTGGAGTTGTGCGACGGCCGCGTAGGAAATGAATCATTTCGCAGGACATGGGATGAGAATCCAAGTCCCACTTTGGATCATGTGCCCGCGAGCCTGCGCCTGAGGCTAGCCGGCTAGCCATTCCCTTCCAATTGGCCGACGTCTTTGCAAGCCGTGTTGCTGACATTATGCTATTCCTGGTGATGCTACAAACTTCACCTTGCAATGCCTGTGTGCAACAGCAGCCCTGCTTCATGTGCAATGGCATCGCGAAGTCTGAATAGCATGAGGAGGCATGGTGTAACAGCGTGCACGTCCCGCATAATGGCATCTCTTCCGCCCTCCTCGTGCCAATCACCCTCATCGCCTTTGCGGTCATACGAAGCCAGCTCGACATCTCACACGACGGCATCGTCACGTGCGAGGAATTTATGCGGATGGGCCTGCTGCTTATTACACCTGTCGCCGGGGGAGCAAATCGCAACACCGGTCTCACCAGCAGGGTCAGCCCTGGCGCAGACAGCCACGATGCCTCCACTGGCAGAATGGAGCTGCGCCAGAAGACTGGTGCTGGTGTCGCTGCTCCTTCGTCCTAGCCCTGATCTGTCGATCACGGCTCCGCCAGGCCGCCGATCCGCCGATCGGCTCGGACCAGAGGGTGGCCAAGGCGATCCCGACCGATGGAGGAAGAAGAGGAGGAGGAGGAGGAGGAGCAGGACGGGATGAGGAGGAGGGCGGCAGGAGGAGGAGGGGGGATGTGACAGCAGGAGGCGAGACGTCGCAGCGAAGGCGCAGTCGAATCGACAGCTCCAAGCTGAATTGAAGACAACGTCCGGGGAGTATACGTATTGGCATCCGAAAAAGAGAAACAGAGCTATGCAAAGACGTTTGAAATCCGGTTGAGAACAAACATTATTGTTTCAGAATTTCCCCGATAGCATCATCATTCGCCCGCCAGAGTCATGGATTTGCGTAAGATGGGTCCCAGAGTCATCGCGCCTGGTGGGATTTGCGAACGAGTTCCGATCGGTAATTATACTAACGCAAGTTGTCAGAACAGGAGAAAACACATAAGCACAGAGGGTTTTATGGGTTTTACTCCGGAAGGGGGCGTCGTTGAGAGGGCACCTGGCACGGATGCGGGGATCGGGGTGGCGTCGGTTTTTTGAGCTGGCGGTTTGAGTGGCAAGTGCGTTTAGCTGGCCGCATATGTTTGGAACGCGTGACGGGTGGAAAGGCCGCTAACCAGCAATAGGCTGTCCTCTGCCTGCGTGCCAGAACACATCGTCGTGCATTCGCAACGGGGTGTGGGAAAAGGGGGTTGGGACGAGAGCGCGGGTCTCATTCCCAAGAAGTCCCTTCGATAGGCAGCAAACAGCCCTTTTTCTATTCATATGCCACACGGTCAACCGAACGAACGAACAGCTATTTCGGCGCGCAGTGTTAGCTTCGCTTGCGCGCGTCCTGGCTTCATTCCGTTGCTTCCTTCGCCTCTGTCTCGCCCTCCTTGTCCCGCCGCCCCTTCCTTTCCAGCTCGGAGCTGTCACCACGCGCGAAAATCGCAACCCAAAGGGCGTTGCTATAATTCCTTTGTGTGCCACGAAGTCTCGTGTAATTCCTTTGTGTGCGGTCTGGTTACATTGCCACCGCGGGGGGGCACACACAATAATTTCCTTTGTGTACGATCGTTTTCGCTGGCCCCACAAGAGCACGCGCGATTCCTTTGTGTAGAGTTTTTTTTCCCGCCTCGAGGAGCGCGCGCGGGCTGGCGCTACAAACGCAAGGCCGTGAGCGCTGCCACACCAGACCTCTCAATTGTATCTCGAAGCACGGCCGTGCATCAACCCTGGTTCAGGTCGCCGGGGATCCAGTGGCATCGGTGCACATGCGTTGCACCGTTGGTGGTGCCAAAACCCTTTTGTGAAATCCCTTTGTGTGTTTTTTCTGGCTCTTAAGTTGTGGTTTGGGTGGGTGTGATATTGCTCGAGCCTAGGAGTTGATGCCACCAAGTTGTTTAAAATAATTAAGCGGCAATGTTTGCACCACGATGGTTGCGCCATATATTTAGACGGCCCCGCACGGATCGCACGATGTAGCATGCAACGCGTAGCTTGCACCACGGTGATTGTATCCCGCAGGCTGGACAACAATTAGTGCATCACCCTGCTACTCCTGCATGACTGCGCCCCATAGCTTGCGCAACCCATGGTCTCTCTTTGTTTCTCTCTCTCTCTCTTTCTGTCTCTTTCGTTGCTACCGTTCTCATTGAATGTTTACACACATACCTGCATGTATGCGAACACACAAACATACATATTGTTCAATTACATGCGTACACACATACGTTCACACATACACCTGCGTATGTATAATGCGTATACATATATGCATACATACATACATACATACATATTTGCGTACACGCAAACATACATCCACACAACCATACACACATACACACATACATATTATACACACCATACATGCGTACAGCCACCCGTATGTGTAAATAGTTGTATACATTCATACACGCATACATGCATCCATACATACGTACGTACACACATGCCATTTATAACATGTATATCATTCATACATATACATATCCATCCGTACATGCATGCGTGCACGCATACACACATACATGCACATATCGGTGCATACATGCATACAGGCATGTATGCATATATGCATACACAAACATGCAGACATACACAAACATACACAGGCAGACAGACAGACATACAGACACGCACATACACACATACATTCTCGAACGCGGCCACATCGAAGTCCCCAGGTCCGACGCGCTGGCGAAACAAGGGGCCGAGGAGCAGGCCGAGCTCTGGCTGCTGGCAAAGCAAAGCACGTTTCACGGAAAAGCACGACAACAGGCTGTTGCGCACGCCGCCGCCGCGGTGGTGGAGGTGTTGAGCTTGCTCTTCACGGTACTGCGGGCCATGGGCTGGGCTTCAAAGGCTGGAAAGGCACCAAGAGGTGTCCTGGTCCGCCAGCTGAAGGACAAGGGCGAGGACAAGGGTAGCCACACGTAAGGCCCAGGATCGGCCAGGACAGCAGGAAATGCAGAGCAGATCTTGCATGCCCGTACGTGTGAAAAGCATTATCTGGGAAATCCAGTGGTGCATTCCGCGCCAGCGGGGAGGAGAAAACGTAACGAATTTCCCCCCCCGCCGTGTGGTCTTTTAGTAGCTGTCTAGGGTTGGCCGCCCCACACAGGTCGGCATGCGGGCTCCTTCTGCTGCCGGCGTTCTGCCGCTGCTTGCGCCTTTCCTCCTTCTCCTCCTCCTCCTCTGCCTCCTCCTCTTCCTCCTCCTTCTCCTCCTCCTCCTCCTCCTCATTCTTCTCCTCCTCCTCCTCCTCCTCCTCCTCCTCCTCCTCCTCCTCCTCTGGCTCCTCCTCCTCGGCCCTTGCAGTGCTGGCGGCGCGGCAACGCAGCCTCGCCGATGAGCGAGAGGCCCCGAGCAAGTAGTCCATGATGACACCGCGCTTGAGGGGGAATCGACTCGAAACATACATACATACAGACAGACAGACAGACAGACAGAAATACATAGAGAGATACATACATACGCTCATTCGAGGGAGATCCCAGGCCCATGGCCCCGGGCCGGCCCGTCCCTTTTATTTTTGTACTCTTTCTCCCCGGGGATTTCCCGGGGTGGCCCCCACAGGTCCCAGATAACTGTGACTGGCCCTCAAGGCCGCCAACAGCGCCCCACGAGAGCTCTAAGACGGACCCAGATAACACCGCGACAGCCCCACGGAGCCCCAAGACGCCTCAAGAGGCCCCCAAGAGGCCCTCCAAGAGGGCCCCAAAGAAGCAATAACCGTCCCATTCCCTGCGGAAAGCGTATATTCCCCCACCTCGTTTGTGGGCTTCTCGTTTTTTTTGCACACCTCCGCGCAGGATCTCCTCCCACCCCATTCTTTTCCACCTCATCACCATCACCATCACCATCACGATCGTTATCACACTCGTCCCATCACCATCATCACCAGCACACGCACACACCCATTCATAAGCACAAGCACACTTACACACAGTCATAATCGCTACCGCCCTCATCATCATCACTACCACCATCATCGCCATCGTCAGCACACACACAGCATTCACCATCATCACAGTTTCTCACCCACACACGCACAATCATTCGTCAGCGTTAGCATCCTCCGATTCGCACACCTGTTCAGCAGTGGCACTATCACCATCGTCATTGTCACTCTGTTTCGTTGGCACACTCATCACCATGACCACCACCATCTTCACAACCATCATCTACACATCATCATCACCATCAGCACCAGCGTCACCATTATCATGAATCGATATCATCATCAATCAAACACCACTCACCATCATCCACCATCTCCATCACTATCATCCCACATTTGTTACCATCACCATGCCATCGCGATCATCCGTCAAGAGGGAGCCTCGTCTGTAAGTTGATTGTGAGGAAGTCTCACGCGGGAGCCCCGTCCCTATGTGATCCGCACGGCATGTTGGTGATGCGAGCGGGTCATCGGAACCTTTTACAGTCGTCGGTTTTCAGCTCCTCTGGATTCAATATGGAGGAAGTCTCAGGCGGGAGCTTCGTCTGTGAGTAAACTGCGAGGAATTATCGCGCGGGAGTCCCCTTCCTATGGGGTCCGCAACTCATGTTGGCAATCCGAGCGGGTCACCGGAAACGTGTAACCGTCGTTGCTGTTCATCTCGTCTGGATTGAGTACAAAGGAAGTCTCAGGCGGACGCTTCGTCTGTGAGTGGATAGCGAGGAAGTCTCACGTGGGAGCCCCCTCCTTATGGGGCCCGTCCGCACTTCACGCTGGAAATCCGAGCAGGCCATCGGAAACTTGTAACCGTCGTCACCTTTCGGCCCGTCTGGATTGAATATGGAGGATTTCTCAGGCGGGAGAACTCAGGCGAAAGCCCCCTCTCTGCAGGGTCCACGCTGCATGCTTGTCATCCGAGCGGGCTTTCGGAAACTTGTAATTGTCGTTACTTTTTCAGCTCGTCTGGATTGAATACAGAGGAAGTCTTTGGCGGGGACTTCGTCTGCGAGTGGATAGCGAGGAAGTCTCAGGCGGGACCCCCCCCCCCTACGGGGCCCGCATTTCATGTTGGTGATCCGAGCGGGTCATCGGCAAACTCCACCAGGAATAGCCTCTGAGCACCCCAGTGGGGCACATCCGTAGACGAACGCAGCGCGGCTCAGTTCGACCCAGACGGAGGCCGGGGCCTTGTAAACGTCCCGAGCATGCACAAGACGGGGGACATCCATGGCGTCTTACCGGCACGTTGGCATGGAGGTCCAGTTCATGACCGTGCAAGAGGAGCTGAAGGATAATTTGTGGCTCGCGCAGGAACAACGGGCCACCGTCGTGTCCTTCGACTTGCACCCAGGCGACGAGCGGGACTACGAGGAGCGCGCGCCGGGCCAGCTCTTTCGCCCTCGCTACCTACCGCAGGGAATTTGGATGCAGGCCCACGGCTTCAATGGTCTTCGATCTATATGGAGGTCGCCGCGGTGTTGCTGCACAGCGCCGAAGACGCTGACGACGACGGCGAGGCCGAGGCGCGGGCGAGGAGCTTGCTCATGTTCAGGCCCAGCCAGCAGGGGTTCACGTGGCAGAGCTCGGGGCCGCACGTCGCGCGCCGCTCGGGGTTCACCCAGACGCACGTGTCCCACCGGACCTCCACGTTGTTACAGGGTCAGACGCTGTGTGAAGGTGTCGCCATCGACTGCGCCGGGAATGAGGACGCTGGTCGCGCAGGCATGTCGGACGAGCAGTGGTGGCTGCACCTCTACCTCATGTTTTCTCGCGCCGCGTGCATGCGGAACGCGCTGATCCTGCGACTGCCCGCGCGAGAGTTCCTGGGCCGCGAGCCGCCGGCGCCCCTGCGGAAGGCGCTCGAGGAGTTCGACAAGGGAGCGGTGGAAACCAAGGTTGAGGCGGAGCAGCTCGCGGCAGAGCTGAACTTCGCGCTACCTCCCGCATGAGCGCGGCCGCGACGAACTCGGCAGCTGCGGGCTTGTCCCAACGGCTTGCTCTCGCGCCCCAGCGGCTCGCGGGGCTGTCCCAGCGGCCGTTGCGCCGACAGCTTTTTGATTTTGCCATCAGAGAACGCGCCCCTGCTGGGCTCGGCGTCGAGGGCGCCGAGGAACATCGGCACGCGCCCCCCTGCCAGGAGGAAGGAGAGGTGCATGAGGAAAGCACGCGGGGTGGAGATGAGGGGGGGAGAAGGAGGAAGGGGATGTGGAGGAGGAGGTGGAGGAGGAAGAAAAGGACGAAGAGAAAGAGGAGAAATTGAACAAAGAGGGGAAATAGGAGGAGGATACGGAGGACGAGGATGACGAGGGGGATGAGGGGAAGGCGCAGCAAAGGGCGAACCGGGGGGCTTCGGCCAGGGTGAAGAGGACAGAGCGAAAGGCTATCTACATAAATTCGCGTGTGGGGTCCTACCGTCGGAATTATTCGCATCTTCGCTTCTTGGGTTTCCTTAGCGACCACGACGGCCCAACAGGCTCCCCAAAAAACTCCAGTACGGCCACAAAAGTGCCCAAGACGGCCCAGAAGGCCCTTACGACGGCCCAGGAGCGCCCCAGGGCAGGTCCAAAAGGGGTCCCAGTGGAGGAAAACCGAATTTAAAGGTCGAGCCTTGGCCCGAAGAGGCCCCCAGGAGCCCCCTCAAACTTCCCAAGAGTCCCCGAGAGGCCCCAAGGAGGCCCTCAAGGGGCCTCCCGGCGGCCCCAGGAGGCCCCCAGGAAACCCCCGGGATACCCCCAAGAGGCCCAAAACGGGTTTTTGATCGATTCCCTGAGGAATTTCAAATGTACACCTACGAGAAGCCTCTGGTCTACTACTTAGGCCCGTTCCTGGGGCGATGCCTGATCGGCACATGTGTTCCTTCTATGGTGTATTATGTGTATGTATGGATGTACGTACTCATGTCGTATGCGCGCATGCTAGAGGAATGAGACATCGCGTGGTCTGGCGAAGGATCCACCCCTATGCAGCTGCGTGTGGCGCAGGGCGCGGCTCTCTCTTCAAGTGTTGCGCGACGCGGGTTTGACCGGATAGAGGGTCGCTGTTGAGCTAGCGCGCGTAGGCACGCTGAGCTCCTTGTGGGGCACGATCCGCGTGAAGGGGGTGGCCGCCGCGCGAGCGCGCCCACTGAGGCCGTAGGTGGAGCTCCTTGTGGAGCACAGTTTGCGTGTAACGGCGCCGAAACGGGCGTGGGGGCGCCATGCGATATTGTCCATGGGTACGATAGATGAAGACCCTTGCAGGGTACGATCCGAGTCATTGGTGTGCCGCAATATGCGGAGGGACGCCATGCGACCCCTCCTGTTGGAACCGTCGGTGGAGCTCCCTCTCGGGCGTGATCCGTGAGGTGTGTATGCCGAAATGGGCGTGAAGGCGCCATGCGAACTTTCTCTCTTGGGCCGTAAGTGGAGCTCCCTTTGGGCCACGGTCCCTGCCAGGGCTGTGGAGAGCAGCTGCCCATCTGTTGCGGGAGACCTCTCTGGGAACATCCGGGCGGAGGAGAAGGAGGAGGAGGAGGAGGACGAGGAGGAGGAGGAGGAGGAGGAGGAGGAGGGAGGAATGGGCTACGTGCGAGGAGGAGGAGGGAGGAATAGTAGTTGCAAGCGGAGGAGAGGAGGAGGAGGAGGAGGAGCAGGACATGGGACATAACGAAAAGGAGGAGTTGGAGGAGAAAAAGCAGAAGGAGGAGGAGGAGGACGAAGAGGAGTGAAAGTGAAGTCACGAGGACGAGGGAATGATGAGTGAAAGCGGGAGCAGGAGCACGAGGAGGAGGAGGAGGAGGAGGAGGAGGAGGACGAAGAGGAAGACGAGTTGGAGGATGAGGAGGAGGAGGAGAGGAGGAGAAGATGATAACGAGGGAGGGGGAGGGGGAGGGGGCCCAGGCGGATGGAGACTCTGCAACGCCCACGTGCAGCGGACTTCGCAATGCCGCCGATCGAACGAGCGAAAGCGAGAGCCGTAAAGCGTGGTGCAGCTGCTGCCAGAACCTAAGCGCGCGAAGCGCGCGTGACTCTATTGTGTGTACACGCACATATATATATATATATCTTTATATATATGCACATCTCACACCACGCGCAGGTTTCACCGTACACTGGTTGCGCGACTGTCGGGGGCCCACGCTGGCAGCCGGACGCGCATGCATCCGTACGCGCGCGCTTCGCAGCCGGGTGCTCGAGGCGGCGCCCGGGGGTCTGGTGCCGAGGAGGTCAGCCCGGTTCGGTCGTGGGCGGAAAAGAGGGGGGTGATGACTAAGGGGGGGTGGATTTCATGGCGCGGGCCATGATTTTTCCTCAGATTTCATGGCGCCTCTTCTTATTTCATTACGTCCCGGGCCCCCCCGCTGGGCCGCGCACATGCCGCCGGTCATGATTTGCACCCCCCCCTCTTGGACACCCCCCTCTTGGCCGCTCCCGATTCGGAGGCGTCGCTTCTTCCCTGAGGGCGACTGTGCACAGGGTGTGGTCACGCTGGTGTAGGGTTTGCGATCGGCGCCACTGGTGCCTGGGGGGCACGACGCCGTCCTCGTCGGGCCTCCTCGTTGCAACGCACACCCTTGCAAACCACACTCTTCGGAGTCGCCGACCGAGGCCCGCAGCTGGTGCTCCCCACCAGGGAGCTGCAGCTCGAGGCCAGCTTCTACGGAGGGGCACTGGGGGTTCGAGGCGGGGATTTATCCATGACCACCGCCTGGGGGCAATCGACCTTTGGGGACCTCGGCAGGCTTTGGACATGGCTATATTTGGCCCCGCCCCCCCCAGGCCCGAATGCCATCGCCTGCCGAGCTCCCCAGAGGTCGACCTCCCAGACGGCGGTCATGCGTAAATGCCCGCCTCGCAAGGGAGGTGAGGGGCACAGAGGGCGGTGCAAGGGCGGTGGCTTCCTGAGATGGCAGGGTGGCCTCTTTGGACCGGGCGGAGGCAAGCACGGCGGCTCCACGGAGACGGCAGGAGGGCCTCTACGGCGGGATGCCAGGGCTTTGGGGGCGGGGGGGGGCTCAGGAAGGGAGGCGAGGGGGGGGGCAGTCAGGGCCAATGTTAGGGCAAGGGTGGGAAAGGCTCAGGAGCGTATGCACAGACCGACCCACAATCGCCCAGGCCAGAGGCCAGCAGGGCGGCTCCTCAGAGAAGGCAGGATGGCCTCCGCGGGAGCCGGGGGCCAGGCAGGACGAAAGGGGTGGGCGGAGATGGGGGATGTACAGTCGTCGTGCTACCATAAGGAACGGTGACTGGGGATCGGAGGGGCTTCTGGCAACAGCGAGCCTCGGCCACAAAGAGGTCTCCCGGCCTAGTTCCACGCCAGGAGCGGCCTGAGCACCAGCGGCCTGGGCACCAGAGCACGTCCTTCATTCGGCGTCTCGGGGGTACGACGTCTCCTGCACGCAGCTGGCGTCGGCCCCGCCGTGGGGCGCACTCCCGGGTGCATGGTCGCTCCTGGCGGCTCGACGAGGCGCCGACAGAGAGACGTGCCGCCCACCCCGAGCGGGGAGGCAGCGCGCGGCATGGCGGGCAGAGCTGGAGCCGCTGTGGTTCTTAGCCCTGGGGCCCTGCGGCGTCGACGTCCCTCTCGGGAGCCGGGGGCCCCCCAAGCGGTGCGGTGAGCACACCGAGCGGTGCGTCAGTGGGAGTCCGGGGCGGCCGCGCAGTTTTGGGACGTGGGCCGTTCGGCGAGGCCGGTTCGGGCGACGGGGACCCCCAGGGTCCCCCAATCCGTGCGGCGAGGTCTTGGGAGATCCCGAGGTCTTGGTGAGGGGCTGACCCCTGGGCGGTGGCGCGCCTGAGCGTCGTCCTGTGCTGAGTGACGCTCGAGCGTGCCACCGCCCATGGGGTCGGCCTCCTACCGATGGCTCCTCGGTGGCAGTGGTCCAGGTGTCTCCTCTCGGAGGAGCCCGAGGTCATGATGTCCTCTATGTCCGGACGTCCCACGCGGGCTGGAGAACCCATGGCCGCTATGATAGACACCCCGCTGGAACTCCCGGAACGCGTCCTGACCCGGCTTTAGCATGACATCCTTCTCGTCTTGTCCTGTGGAGACGGTCGTCGGTGCGGTGGGGTGCCCCAACCGCACCGACGGAGGAGGGAGAGGAGGAGGAGGAGGAGGAGGAGGAGGAGGAGGAGGAGGAGGAGGAGGAGGAGGAGGAGGGGAGGAGGGAGGAGGAGGAGGAGGGGGGGATGAAGGAGGAGGAATGGAGAGGGGGAGGGGGAGGAGGAGGAGGAGGAGGAGGAGCAGGAGGAGGGAGGAGGAGGAGGAGGAGGACGAGGAGGAGGAGCAGGATGAGGAGGAGGAGGAGGAGGAGGAGGAGGAGGAGGAGCGGGAAGAGGAGCAGGAGGAGGGGGAGGAGGAGGAGGAGGAGCGGGAAGAGGAGGAGGAGGAGGAGGATGAGGAGGAGGAGGAGGAGGAGGAGGAGGTGGTGGAAAAGGCCATTCTGGCCCCTGCGGGGGTGGTGCTCCCCAAAGCCTTCGGCATTGGGGGCCGGCCCGAGCGCGTTGTCCGGCACGCGGCGGACGGCGCGCCGTGCGATACGTTCGCCACCAAAGACTTCACGATCCACGTGAACATCGTCAAGGTCGACGTGACGGATCTCGAGGTCATCAGAAGACAAGGTTCACCGCGGCTAGAACATCGACCACCAGCTGTCGAACCACAAGGCTACGCGTCTTACCCACTGGTGTAGAGACGCCTCGGCAAGGATGCCGTTACCATGCACGCATAGGAGCACAGGGGTGCGAACAGACGCGGCCCAAAAACGAGTGCGGTACACCGTCCAGCAATGGATGCGGCCTCGACCCGATGACGGCAGTATCATTTCTAGGACCGCCCTCGCGAGAGCGTTCAAACACGAGATGCGTAGTAGGCAGCCCCAGTGCGGAAACGAGCTGTGTAACAGGCAGCCCAAGGACGACAATGAGCTGCGTAATAGGCAGCCCAATGAGCCGCGCCGCCTGCGACGAGTACGATTACGGTCGTTTTTTTCGATAGCGACCTGTACCCCTACGCCCCCCAGGACTACGACGGGCCGCAGGGCTACGACAGCCGCCAGGACTACAGGGACATCCAGACTGTGGAATTCTACGACTTGGCAGCCGACGACTCCGACTCGGACTTCGGGGGCTACGAGGAGAGCGGGCCCTCTGCTGCTACAGCCACAAGCAGAGCTTCCAGGGCCAGTCGACGGCCTTCGTGGACCACAAGCTGGACTACGAGGACCACGCGCACAGCTACGAGATCCACCAGATGACGTCCAAGGCCCACCTACCGAGCAGCGAGGGCCACGATCAGAACCACGAGAGTCACCAGCTGAGCTACGAGGGCCGCGAGCTGAGCTATGAGAATCAGGGCTATGAGGGCCACTTGGAAAACGATTTGGGCTACTACCTGAGCTCGGAAGGCGACGAGCAGAGCGACTACCGCCACCAGCGGAGCCACCAGGGCCACCAGACGACCTTCGGGGGCACCAGCTGAGCTACAAGGACCACACGCGCAGCTACGAGAGCCACCAGAAGAGCTTCAAGACCCATCTGTCGAACTACGAGAGCCACCACCAGACCTACGAGAGCCACAAGCTGTGCTCCGAGGACCACAAGCTGAGCTATGAGAGCCACATTTACAGCTACGGCGGCCACCAGAAGAGCTTCAGAACCCACATGCCGCGCTACGAGAGCAACCAGCAGAGCCTCGAGAGACACAAGCTGAGCAACGAGGATCCCAAGTTGAGCCTGGAACGCCACAACCAGGATTATGAGGACTACCACTTGAACCATCAGGAACTTTCCTCTAGGGCTGCCACAAGCTGCGCTACGAGGGCCGCGAGCTATCCTACGAGGACCAGCTGAGCTACCAGGTGCACCAGCTGTGCGACGAGGACCACAGGCGCAGCTACGACAGCTACGAGGGCCACTTGCTGAGCACGAGAGCCACAACCAGAGCTACGCGGACTACGCTTCAAGAAGCCAGCGGAGCCACCGGGGCCACCAGCAGAACTCCGAGAAGCACGGGCTGAGCTACCCGGACACCGAGCAGAGCTTCATGACCAGGTGGGCGACCTGGGTACGCAGAGCCACGAGAACCACCCCTTGATTTTCAAGGACGGCCAAAAGATCTTCGAGAGCCACCAGCAGAGCTTCAAAATCAACCAGCTGCACTACTAGTGCCACCACCAGATTTTCCCGGGCCACGTCATGAACTGCGAGGACCACCCGCCGAATTTCGAGGACAGCCGCAACCAGAGCTACCTCGGCCACCAGCTGAACTACGAGGGAACCCAGCGAAGCTGCGAGGTGTACAAGCAGAGCTGGGGTGGGCACCTGAGCTACGAGGGCAACCAGCTGAGCTACGAGGGCAAACGGCCGGGCCACCTAAGCTGTGATGGCCACGAGCTGAGCTTCGAGGTCAGCAAGCCGAGCTGCGTGAACCATACGCTGGGCTATGAGGGCCACCAGCTGGACTGCGAGGGCCACCAGCAAGGTTTCAAAGGCCACAAGCTCTTTAGTTACGCGGTACACGAGCTTAGCCGCAAGGACTTCCAGCAGAGTGACCAGCCTCACCAGCTGAACTACAAGGTCCAAGAACGGAGCCTCTAGAGCCCCCGACACGGCTACGAGGACCACCAGCCTAACTATGGGAGCAACAGGCCGAGCTACGAGGGCCGCGAGCAGGTCTCCGAGAGCCACCGGCTGAGCTACGAAGGCCACGAGAGGAGGACGAGGAGAGCGACGAGCAGGACGAGCCCATCTTCATAATGTACGCCGCGCTCCAGGGGCTGGACTTCCTGAGGGCTATGATCGCCGAGGGGCGGGCAATCATAGAGGCCTTCGCCGTCAGGGCCGTATCTGAAATCACGAACCCCGCGCGCAACGAACCCCACGGCATGATAGCGCCCACAGACATGAACGGCAACCACCACTACGAGGACGGGGACACGATGGTCCGCGAGCTGGGCCCCTTCAGGAGCCATCGAAGCGCTCTGGTCCGCCCGCGACCACTACGGGGCGCACCAGCACGGGGTACCTAGAGGCCAGCGGCTCACGCTTATCCTCGCCGCAGAACGTGTACGATGGCAGGAAGCAGGCGAGTGCGACGACGAGGACAATGAGAGAGACGTGGAGCAGGAGGAAAGTGGCGAGAAGTACAACACCGACTCAAACAAAGACAGTTGGAACGCTGAGTACTACGACCTGGCAAGCGACGACTCTGGGGAGTCATGGCGAGACAGGCCTGCGTGAAGCTGGGGGAGATTACGGTGTAGTGCAGAGCTACGGACAAGGGCCAGGGTACGAGTTGCAAGTGCCACGTCAGCAGCGCTACAGACAATATACCCCGTGTACAATGTGACCGCCAATGTTCTGCGTCTGCGGCAGCACATCTGCTACGGCTGTGTGGCCCCGCCGCTGCAGACACCTTCCCTCGCCCCTCGGTGGCCTCAGGGTTGATGATTGGGTTTGCTGGCCCCTCCCCCCCCTCATCCCTCGGGAAGGGTGCGCCTTGGTCCTGGGCGCCGCGCCGCGCGCGGCGCAGGCTTCGCGGGTGGGGGCGCAGAGGGCGGCCGAAGCCGCTGCGAGAGAGAGGGGGGGTAGGAGGGGGAGGAGGAGGAGGGGGGGGAGGAGGAGGGGGAGGAGGGGGAGGGGAGGATGGGGGGGCGGCGACAGGATCATGGTTTCCCCAGCCATGGCCGTTCGGGGAGAGGGAGAGGGGGGAGGCAGGGCGCGGCGACGACCGCAGGGGGCGAGGAGAGGCGCGAGGACCGGCGCTCTTGGACGTTTGGGAGTTGTCGGGGGCCTCCCTTTTTCGGAAGGGAGGGGGATCCAAATAGGCCCCATGTTCCCCAGGAGGCCAAAGTGGGCCCAACACCCAAGTCAAATCCATGATTATGCCTTCTCGCCAAGGCCGTCTTGCACGGTCCAACCCATCGCGACCCCCCCCCCCCTCCAGGTCTAGGCGGAAGGGGGTTCGGGGGAGGGGCGGGCGCCTCCCCTAAAGGGAAACGGGGGGTTGGACCCCCCCTCCTCGGCAGCCGCTGCTTACCAAACCACACCAACCCAACCCGAAGGCCCCAGATTCGCCCCCACACGCCCATCGGCGACGTTGGGTTGGGTTGAGGTGGTTTGGTGGGCAGTCAGGGAGGAAGACCGCGTACCAATGACACGGCGCCAGTGGGAGCCCGTCTGCGCGTCATTATTTCGTTGTTGCACGAAGCGCGGAGTCTCTTCCTATCGTCCTCTCAATCATATCATTCCTCCTCTCCCTCCTGCCGCATCTTCTCTGTCCTTATGGTTGTTGCCCTTCCGCCCATATATCCTGACCTCTTGTCCCCGTCCCCTGCTCCTTGAAGCCCCCCATCCTCACTATAGTTCCGTATTCCCTTTGCCCTAGCTTTGTTAGCCCCCAACGTTTCATTGCCAACCTTCAGTTCCTAGGCATGCCCCTCCAGTCTCTCTCCCGACCCTTTGGCATTATTACATATGTCTTGTTGTTGCGGTTCCTCCGCGTCGGTTCTTACTTCTCTGTGTGTCCAGTCCTACTTGTCGTTCTCCGCCACCTCATTCTAGTCATCCTCTTGCTCATGTTGTCATTATGGCCCCATTGGTAATGCCAAGCCCGCCCCCAGATTCGTGACGTTAGGAGCACATTTGACCATCAAGAGTGGAGCTCTGCAAAATCAAAGAGAGGCAGTCTATTCGGTTTCCCAAGCTCTTCCGATGTCACCCTCCATTTGTCCTATGTCTCCTTTGCCTCCTCTTTTCCCTGGGCCCCATTGGCACCCCCTGGAAACCTCTGAGATTCTGGCACCCGTTCGGGAGCCGACAGAACATCTTCCCTAACACAGAAGATCTTTGTAAACCAGCAGAACAACTGGCACGCAGCACTTGCGAACGCACCCACTATATTTCTCTTTCCTTGTTCCTTGTATATCCCATCTGGAACCGTCAGGGCGCTCGAAGAACTTCCACAACCTTCCCGACACATTCCAGGAATATGTAGAACCCCTTGGACACCTCCAAGCCCACGGAGGTCCTCGAGAACCTGCGCATTCCCCCCCACCCCTGGAAGCACACACACACACACACATACACGCAACCCCCCACCCACACACACACACATACATACACACACACACGCACACACACACACACGCACACGCACACGCACACGCACACGCACACGCACACGCACACGCACACGCACACGCACACGCACACGCACACGCACACGCACACGCACACGCACACGCACACGCACACGCACACGCACACGCACACGCACACGCACACGCACACGCACACGCACACGCACACGCACACGCACACGCACACGCACACACACACACACACACACACACACACACACACACACGCGCGCACACGCACACGCACACGCACACGCACACGCACACGCACACGCACACGCACGCGCACGCACCGGAACCCGCACACGCACACGCACACGCACGCAGATGCACACGCACGCGCACGCGCACGCGCACACGCACACGCGCACGCACGCACGCACGCGCACACGCGCGCTTGAACATCAGCAGACCATGTTTCCAAACCCCCATTCCTTCTCCTGCTCGCCGCCATGCCTCCCACTGCCGAACTTCCAGAAAAGCTGCTCGGCACTTTCGAAAAAATCCAACGTCGGAGGACAGCCAGACAACTCGAGAAGTCTCCAGATTATCCTCCCTGCTGCACCCGCAGTTCTAGCAGCGAATGCGGCGGCATCAGTCGTAGCAGTGCGAGCGGCATCCGTGTATCTTGTTTGGTGATCCTTTCTTGGTACGCTTCTTCTCCTCCCCTCATTCTCCTCCTCTTCCCATAGTATCATCGTCGTCGCCATCACAGTGGACAGCAGCTTCCGTCTGTTATTGTTAGTATTATTATTGTTCTCAGTTATCCTCTTGCTCTCTCACTCCTCCTGCATTTGCCCTACTCCCCCGCCAACTCCTTAATATCACCCTCATCATTCACGCCATCATCTCCGCTGCTCCCTCTTCTCACTCCTCCTCCTCCTCCTCCTCCTCCTCCTCCTCCTCCTCCTTCTCCTCACGCTTCACCATCATCACGCTTCATCATCCTCCACCTCCCTCGCCCTCTCCTCCTTTCCCATTCGCCTCCGCCCCCCCCTCCTCCTCCAAGCCGCCGGGAGGGCACTGCTCCGTGGCCCTCAGGAAGGCCACCAGGGCGCAGAGGGCGATCGACAGGGCCCAGGCCGCGGACGGCGAGGACTCCGAGAGCTCGGACGAGGGCTGTCTGCAGTCGTGAGAAAAAGGTCCTCTCGCCCTCCACCTCGTCCTCCTCTCTCGTCCTCCTCTCGTCCTCCTCTCTCCTCCCCCAGCTATTCCTCCTCCTCCTCCTCCTCCTCCTCATCCTGTCCTCCTCCACCTCCTCCGCCGTAGCTATTTTGGCCCAAGTTCCAATCTTGCGTCCCTGGCGCTTGGAGCGTACACGCAGCCGAGGGGGCGGCTCGAGTCCCCACGTTTTCAGCTGTCTGTGAGTTGCTGGTGGAGCACTGGTTCGCCTGCTTTGCCCCAGGCTGCCATAGACAGGGATGGACAAACACCTCGTGAAGATGACTCGAAGAAGCACAAGAGGGATTATTGGAAGTAGCGTGATTGCAGTGGGTGTTCTGGGAAGTCTCGCAGCAATTTTCGATCCTGCTTGCGAGGCAGGACGTGATCGCAGGAGGGCTGGCAGCGGCCGCGGGACCCAGTGATGAGATGGCCGCTGCCCACGTGGCAGGTCCAGACCCTGGTGTCGAGAATCGTGGATGGGGAGGTGGAGATGGCGGAGGCGGAAAGCTGTGTGATATCGACCCCCGGGCGCAGGCCAGCCTGCAGCAGGAACTTGAGGCGTACAAGGCCGACATGCTGTCCGGGCTCGGCAAAACGGTGTCCCAGACGATGCAGGAGCACATGCTCGAGGCGATCTCCAAGGCCGCGGGCCCTCTGCTCCAAGGCCCTCGGCCGTTGAAAATACATGTTTTGGGGCTCCAGATCCCAACCTACGGTAGGCGCCTTCCTACTTCAATGATCGAGTGGTTTGCCCTCTTCCTCTTCAGGGGGCGGGCGGAAGCCCAATCTACTTTCACGGCCTTCCTACTTCATACTTCTACCCACTTCTTCCGACCGACGGGTAACATCAAGAAGCGCCTGGACCTATGGCTCAGGATGTTGAGTATCAAGGCGAACGCCTTGAGGGAATGGAGGCCGTCCACATAGAGCAGGTCGAGCGCTCTTCCAAATTGGAGAGCGAGCTGGACCTGGCTCTCGCTCGGAGCCTCGTGTGCCGCAGTCGCGCTCGGCAGAGGGAGATCCCGATGTGAACCCGTGCTTGCGGATCATCTCGGGCAAGGGGGATCTGCCAGAAGCGTCCGTGCCTGAAGCGATCAAGCCGTGGATAGACGACGTGCGCTACGCCGAGGACGACCAGTACAAATTGGAAGCACCGGACCTTTCTATAGGTTCTTCGTGGTGCGTTTCACCGGCACCTTCTGTCGGGGATGGACAGACCCCCCTTTAGCAAAACGTGGTTTAGTGAAAACGACCTGAGGCCCAAACCTGGAGGGCGCAAACCTGGAAAATAACGGCCACGGCGCCCTCTCGAGAACCGAAAACGGACAATTCACCAATCGACGTGTCACTGTTGGGGGTTCTGTCCAGCCCCGATTCTGGGCCACTGCGGAGTCCAGGATGCGGCACGCCGTCTCGGGCCCACGGCCGGCGCCCGGACAGTGGCCGCGCTTCTCGGCTACAAGGCCAGCCGGGAGAGTGTCAGAGCCCCGAATCATCAGGGGTAACTCGGGTCAGGGCTAACTCGGGTTCGTTTTTCGGGAAGCCGAACCCGACTTACCCCGGACCCGAGTTACCCCGGATAACTCGGGCGTCCAGAGCCCCGAATCATCAGGGGTAATTCGGGTCAGGGATAACTCGGGTTCGTTTTTTCGGGAACCCAAACCCGAGTTACCCCGGACCCGAGTTACCCCGGATAACTCGGGCGCCCAAGAGTGTGCACGTTCGCCGTGCAGGAGAGGGTCTTCGCGCTCGGGGGGGGCTCTCAGCGTACGCTGGCAGCCTCTTGCGCGGGTGGTGGCCGCCCCCGAAGCCCCCATCACAGTGCAGCACTGCAGTGGCTGAGCTTCGACTGGACAGACGGATACTCGAGGAGCTGGGCAGAACCACCGTTGCCCCAAATGTGGTTCAGTGGTCGGGGTAGTTCCCTCTTTGGGGTCGACCGCCTGGTGTTCAAGTCGTGGAACACAGACGCTTGTCCACCACGACCCCTACAAGGCGAGCTCCAAGCTTGAGTACCTTACCACCCTTCCCGACGACTTCACCATCGTCGCTCTGCAGGGGGTGCACAGGAACCACTCCACCGTGTGCGAGGCGTTCCAGCGAGCGCACGTCAAGTACTGGATCGCTTCGTCTTTAGGGTGGCGCGTGCACGCTGGAGGAATTGACACCCTTGTGCTTGGTCGTGGAAGACTTCAGGTGGAGACCGAAGTTTTTGCACCCAGACGGGTGATGTCCGTCACTTTCTCGTCCTCTTCATCCCCCGGCAAACTCTGTCGCTGAAGCGTTCACAACTCCGGGCTGTTCTCTGGGCTGTCCAACACCGGGTTCGGGAGCAGCTTCGTGAAGGAGAGCGTGCTCTGGACCCCACGGACTCCACCATGATCGGGGATTCCAGCATCTCCGACGACCGCGGGGGGCACGGCCTCTCCGCTGCAGGAGGTCCTGTTGGAGGCGGAGGTCGAAGAGAGCGAGGGCAGCAGGAAGGAGGAGGCGCTGGAGGAGCGGCAGGAGCGCAGCAGCTCCCACGCCAGCGTCGCGCGTCTCGCCGCGCAGGCCGCCCAGGGGACGCCTCGCCGAGATCGCGGCGACGGGGCTACACGAGCGGGCACGAGCCGACGCGCAAGGGCCCCCCGCGTCTGCCGCGCCCTCTGCGGCGGCCCTGGCTCACGAGCCAGGTCGGCCGGGAGCTCCGCGCGGAGGGCGAGCCTGAGTCGGGGGAGCGTAAGACCCGGGTTTGCCAGGACTCGGGTTCGCCATCGTTTTTTGACGACCGCGACTCGGATTTTGACGAGGAGGAGTTTCGTGGGATGTCTGCAGCGGGAGGCCTCGTCAAAATGCAGGCTCGGCCTCGTCATTTTTTTGACGACCTCGTCGGGGATTTCCGAGTCCCCCGTAACCGGGTCTTACGTTTCCCTGACTGAGGAATGGTTCCAGACGGGCCTCTCGGATCACGTCCACATTTCACCGTGCTGGCGCTCGCGCGTCGGCCCGGGCGGAGGCAAGGACGGACCTCCCCCCCCAGCGCTCATCGCTGCCAGGCGGCTCAGAAGGCCACGCTGGCATTCCACCTCGAGAACTCCGCGCACGAGATGACCTCGCGGGACACGGGTAGCCCGAGCGGTGGTGCGCCAACAGATCCGCCTCGCGTGGGTGAGCGGCGCGCCAGCCGTGGTCGCGGGAGTTCTCCCCACTGAGGGCCAGCGCATTCGTCTGCTTAACCCCAAACGTTTTCAAGCACGTCATGCTGATCCCCAGCGGCGGCAGGCGAAGCGGCGGCTGCGTGAGCTGCAGGAGGCTGTCGCGCGGGAACCGATGCCCAGTATGCAAACACGTCTCATTGATCAAAGCCGGCCCCGCTTCGACGGTCCCGCATGTGGAACTCAGCCCCGCATGTGGAACTCAGCCACCCGACAGTCATTCTTAGTTGGCGTTTTTTTATCGAGACCGGCAGGGGCAGGGATGCGTTTGCATGGGCGATCGAGGTCGCCCAGGAGGTTTCTGAACTGGCGGAAGGGTTTCGGGATCGCCACGCCAGTTCCAGAGCAGTGAAGCGCACGGAGGTACGTCCAGCGCTTCACCACGACCGAGAACTTCAAAGGCATCATACCGCCGCCCAAAGTCGATATGGTCGAAGCCGCCATCGAGCGCGCCGTTTCGTCGGGCCCAGGGCCTGATGGACGTCATTACCGAAGGTGGCTGCCAGGCAAGGGGCTTCACTGTCCTCGATCGCGCCATCGAGTGGCTCATAGCAGGAAAGTGCGTCTCGTGCTCGTTCAACGACTGCCTCGCGGTTTTCTCTACCAAGGCCGCCGAGGATGACGCTGACCACCTGGGCGGCCAAATCGTTCGAGCCTCGGCGACGCGCCCCCTTCAGCGTGGAAAGCACGCGGCCAGGGTCCTCAACTTCTCGATCAGCCAGGCGATTTCAACGATTTGTGCTAGATCACAGCGTGGCTTCGCCCGCGGCCGGCAGCTCCTGGGCAGCGCCATGAACCTAGACGCCGCCGCGTGCATCGCAAGTTCCATGGCTGAGAAGTCTGAGACGGCCCAGGCGGCGGCCGCGTTCATCGCTGTCGATTTCACGCAGGCTCTCCCGAGCGCGCGCCAGGAGTGGCTCCATCTGTGCATTAACGAGCTCAGGGTGCCAGAGGGGTTCAAGCGAGCGGCGCGGAAGCTCGCGCCCTGGCAGCGACGTGTTCTTCGGCTCGGGCCCGGACCGTACACTCGCGTTCGAGATGGCGCGCGGGGTGCTCCAGGCGGACCCACCATCTGGAATTTGATTTCCCTTCGCTTGTACATGTTCTATCAAAGCCCTCGAGGCCAGCATTGGGCAGCCGAAGATGGGGCGGAGCTCCGCCTGCGCTGATGACATCGGCTGCGTCGCGTTGTCGAGGCGCGGTTTCCCGAGGCCTGGCCGCGTGCTCCAGATGGCCAAGAAGTTCTCGAACCTCGCCAAGGATCCTTCGAAATGCGACGCCGCGCCGATCAGTGGCCCATGGCCTCCCTTTCGCGAAGCAGCGTGGCCCAACGCGAACCAAGGCATGGAAGGCGCCGCTACGAACAAAGTGCTGAAACCGGTCAGCCGTCTATTTCGGATGACCAGCTGGATCGAGACGCGCCGCGCAGCGCGCAGCATCTCGAGGTCCGCGTAGTGATGCACGGTTTCTCGATGGCGCTGCCGGCCCCGAACCGCTCTGTCGGACTGCGCTCGCGCAGCTTTGAACTTGCGAAGTAGCGCGAGCGGAGCACCCTCCCGGACCTCGACCAAGTAGAACAAGGGAACGTCGTCAACCTGTCTGGTCTTAGCTGGGGGCGACATGCCATGGAAACGCTTGAACATCCCGCGGATCGGCGCCAAGGCGACCCGCTGCTTCTGGAGAGATGTTCGAGGACCCGGAGTGCCAAACACGTCCAATAGGGTACCCAGGTACTTCTGCTCTGGAACGACACGCGCCTTCACGCGCCACTTCG